GGAAGGGTGGGGGGGGGGGGGGGGGGAAAAACAATGCACAAAATAACTCCAAAGATCTCATCAATCTAATGGCAATCAAAACAGAAAGGTCTTCCTCAGGCAAGCATCAACCCTCTGTAATCGGTGCTCAGGACAAACTGCTTACCAGTCACCTTGCCAAGGGCAAGGAAGGTTTGCTGAGGAGTCAACTACTGTCAAGAAAACTTAACTCTTCCCCAGTTGGTCCAGAAGTCTGAGTAGTTGTGACGTTTTCTGCTACAAAGGCTCTTACTCCAAGAGAAAGGTACTCAATGTGAAAAAGCTACATTAAAAAGGGGAAAAAAAATGACAATTTTATTGCCAAATTAGAAGCTCACCAAGCATAAATGAGCTGTACTTAGTGAGCTGCTCTGTTCAAGGCAAAATTTCCCTTGTTTACAGTTAAGATGAAGAAGGATAGGGGAAAAGAGAGAAAATAGCAGCCTCCGTGCCAATATACAAGTGGGAAAGGCTCAGAAGCAATGGGGAAAATATCACACCGAGACTTCTACAAAGAAGCCTCTATTTGGAATAGCTACAACCAGGAGCCACCATGAAGTTGCCCGTTGTAACAGAGCTTATTTTCAAATAAAATTCACCACAGAACCAAAAGTAAAATAAAAAAAAAAAGTATCAAACAGATTCCCGCAGTGTTAGAAGTAGTGTGAGGTATCTGTTCACCTCGGCCACGAAACACAGCTTCAGAGACTAAACCAAGCCAAAAGGCCTTCTGTTATTGCGCTAGGATACTACAAAGAACAGATATTCCATCTGGCTTCAAAAGAAGTTGAAAGTTTTCTATTTTGCACTGCTAACAAAATATTTTTCAGGAACAGATTGTAGTAGCATAGACTTTGCATCTTACTTAAGTGTACACTATCACAGCCTGTCCTACAACAGAGTGTAGCCAGCTTGAGAGAAGTGTTAACCCTAAGAGCCTAGTTTATATCCCAGTGCTTAGCTTCACCTAGCTGGACACAGCACAAAGGTTACAGTCTACAGTGTGTATATATATATATATATATATACAGTGTGCGTGTGTGTATATATATATCTCTCTCTCTTGCACGCGCCACCCAGAAACACACACGCACACACACATTCGTACCTATAAAACTAAAGAAAAATCAGTACATACAATGTATAAAACGTATGAATGTGCTCAAAAATGCACAAAACCCGCTTTATTTTCATACTTCAGAAATGCTCAATAATTTGTACGCATGGTTCTGACTACTGCTATCCATCCACTTCATTAGACCAGAACTTGAACTCAGAGGAGGAGACGGTAAGACATCCCACAGGGTGGAGAATCACTCCTCGTTTCATACCACTGCTGTTAGAGCCAGTCAAACCAGAGAGCAGGACGCGGGCGGTGGTACGGCTCCAGGCGGAGAGGCTTCCTAACAGTGCTTCCTCCCACTTGCGTGCCAGCAGCACACCCCAGAACCGTGATTCACGCTCTCTGATGGATTCAAGATTGTTAGCAAGTGTCTGAATGTCAAGACACCAGATATGATGTCAATAACTAAACTCAGTTTTCTGTGCAAAAGGAGTTGAATTGTCAAGACCAATCCCCAAGTACAGTATATAAGCCTATAGGCAAGACACAGAATAGAAAGTAGCAGCATATTCAATGGGGAAAGAGTCAGCTGCACTGGGAAACCACAACAGTGGGTTAGGATTTGTCATACGAGTATGATTTCTCATCATTACTAGAAAAATAGACCACATACACATCCCCGTGCAGTGTTTTCTTCCTGTCCCTCTAGGCTTGTACCCTTCATAAGGTAACAGGAGAACACTCACAAAGGGCATTCTTTACAAATTCCTTATAATTCATGTCATCTGTTGACTGCTACAGTAAGTCAAGGAGAAGCAGAGGCAAGAGGAGTATGGGGGGAAAGGGTAAATTATTTGCACACTGAAATCCAAACTTAAATTTAAAATCACCTGTAAAGATTATTTTGCACGCATTATCAAAACCAACAGTGCTTGACTTTGGGTTTAGTGAGGGAGCGAATGAATCTTTTTGCTATCTGTAAATTAACTTAGTTTAAGGAGTTCAATCTGAGGGGGAAATTCAAGATGACGTATCAGACTGAAGCAAACTGCTTCATTGATTTAAGTACACTAACCTCATTATAACCCCTTGTGGGACCTGGATAAATGGTTTGGGAGGCACGGGGGAAATGCCTAGAATAGGGTTGGCAATTTATGGGACTCAGATAAGGAACAAGTGTCCAATTAGAATTAAACATCATGTGTGTTGATCACTGTTTTTAAATGGTATTTGTAGAACTATAAAGAAGTGAAATGGAGGTGAGGGAACACATTTACATGCTAAATATAGCATGCAATAAGAAAAGCAAGAACAATGGTCTTTTATCCAGGACAGTCTTGTGCAACTGTTCACTGTAAAGGAGTTAAAACTACAAAGAAAAATACCTCAATCTTCCTTATAAGATTATAACAAACAGGGGCTTCATATAGTGAAAGTGAGACTGCATCAAAGTTAATTGCTCCCCATCTCTTCCCTAAAGTACTACCTAACACGTATGAGGATTCTACCAAAGGGACACAAGCATTACACAGACCCAGTCTTCTTTATGGGCCAGAAGTTTACCTGACAACATGAGATTTTGCAGCTACCAACACAAATAATTGTAATTGCAAATCCTAGTTTTCTTAGTACCCACTCGTCACATATTGCGTAGATCATTCATCCTCCAGTCCCTACGGTGTTCTGAAACAGCAAGGCAAATCAAAACACGCAATGTTTTATACTGTGTAACTCTTACTTGGTGGCATGTGTTTCAGCTCCTCAGTGTTCCTGCTCTGTAAAACAGGCCCCCAGCCCCTTCCCCTGCAGTTCCGTCTTCTTTGCCTTTTCCAAGTGTAGCACTGAAGCAAGAGAGAAAGCAACTGATTGAATGGTGACTGCCCCCACCCTCCTTTTCCATCGTCTGTTCCCTGGGTCCAGTGGTATCCAGCCAAATCCAAGCAGCTTTTTTCTGATGTAGATTTTGTTTCCTCTCAGGTTAAGAAAAAAAAAAAACCAAACCCAACCAAACACTACCCATACTTTTCACCTCCTTAGAAGTCAAAGGAATTCTCTGCACTCTTTTCCATAGCCAATGGGAAAAAAGAGCAGTTATACAATCCATATTTACAGGAATAACCGATTAGTGAATGAATAACGACAGCCAAAAAACGAGAGGCACAATCCTAATCTAGAACATAAAAGCAGTGTTCAAAAAAACAAAGTGGAGATTCCTTCTGAAGTTCAAACCACGGATTAGTGTTTATCTGTGCAAACAGTTGCTAAAACTATTTCTGACCGGCGGTCGGCTTTTTACTCCTTTATACAATGGTATTGAGAGAACAGTGGCTGTGACGGCTGCCCGTAAGAGTTTCTGCCGGTGTGTTTTCATTTAGCGGTGTGTCAGGAGGAACAAGAAAGGTGCTGCTGTCAGCAGAGTCTTCCAGCTCCACTGGAGAAGGACCAACTGAGGGAGGAAGCGATCCCTCTGTAAGCTGTGGGGATACATCACAGTTTCCTAGTGATGGAGGACTGCTTTGCACAGTCTGAGAAAGAACTCCATCTGCAAAGGACAAAAAACAAGCAGAATCAGAACGTGAAGTATATCATTTCATGTTTCCAAATAGATTTACTATCTGTATTTCTGGAAGCTCTGAGTTTTTCTTGGTTTTGCATTAATGCACAAAAGAGATGACACTGCAAAAGAGGAAAATTATGCAGCAAAAATAAAACTCAGATATATAAATAAGATACTTGCACTAATCAGGCTCACTTATCTTGTGAGATATGCTGCTATAAAATCCCAAATTGGAATGATTTCTACAGTATGTGAATATCGCAGCTGCAAAACTGAAGAGCACTGGGTGAATCATTAGAAAGTTATATTTTTGGTCAATTTTTGGGGGGTGTGGGTGGGGGAAGTGGGGAAGAGAGAAGACTCTGGATATATTTTATTCAAAATCTCTTGTACTTGACATTTGTTCTACTTTTTAATACCAATCTCTACAGACCTATCTCCAAAAGACCAGAAAAGGTACCAGCATAGTGGAAACTAGGTAACCAGGTAACCCATCCAAGGTAAGGCTTGAAAAAAGGTAAGGTCTAAGAGTTAAACTGCTTGCAGCATGGATTCCACTTGTAATTTAGGTGATCCAAAGAACCTCTGAGAAAAAACAAGCTTAATGATACATTTTAACAAAAGACTTCCTCCATCACAGAAATAGGAGATTTTATCTTGAAATATATTTTCCCATCACAATTACTAAAATACATGATTCTAGTTTTAAAAAAAAAAAAAAAAATCGACCCTCTAGCCAAAATGAAAAAGAGGAAGAAAAGAGCAGTTATTGCCTGCATACCTGGAGTGGAACAAAGGATGCTGTCTGGATTGACAGAAGCCTCATAAGGAGGAGGCGGGTCATCTGGATGTTGAATATCTGGATACTTGTAAGCAGTATAGGGTGGAGGTGGATCATGGAAATGAAATGCCCCACCTTCCCCATCATCTGAAAGATGCAGTGGAGTAAGGCCAGTTCCAAAACCATCGGGACCGTAATCAAAACCAGGCATCCTGCGGCCCAAGTTAAAATGGTGCACTATTTCAAGAGAAGAAAAAGAAGTAAGCGACTTTATCCCATGCTTTCTTCTTCAATTTAAGGCAGATCTCAACACCTTTTTCCACTTTTCACACCCAAGAAACTCATGTGTCCTGAAGACCTAAAAAAGTCTACATAACCTATACAAGTCAACTTACTGCAGTTACACAACGACACCCAGGCCCACCTGCTCCCAGCCTGTTTGTCCTGCATCGCATCTATTTGAATCTAACCTCTTCAAACTAAGGAGATCATTCACACATAGAAGTTATTTCAGATTTGGACCACATACAAACAAAAAATATTTTTCCATTATCGGCTAAAAAAGTTCAAGTTTGAAGAACCTACCAAGACACACAGGCACAGTCAAGCAAGACCGTGACATTTCTCACCTTTACGTACATCAATCTGTCAACAATAAGCACGAGGCACAAGGTAAGTGTTGATATAAAAAAGTTTTTTCTTCGAATGTGGAGTGGTTCAGAGAACCAAAACTTGTACAAATCATGACCAGTTCAGGCAGCCAGTGCAGAGCTACATTTGGGTACAGTACTGACTAGAATCTATAACCAGACTTCCACTGATGTTTTCCACAGATTTGTTATTTCTTCTGCTCTCTCTATTCTGAAGCACATACACTACTTAAATCAAGACTTGTTACAGATACAGGCTACTTACAATTTGCTCCAATCAAAGACTCTATGCGCTCTCTCCGCCTCTGGCGTAGCCGGTGGACCATGAAAAGCAGCAGAGAGAGGATGAGGAAGGAGGAAATGCAGCTAACGATCAGACGCATTCCACCGGCCATTGAGTCAAACAAACTGTTGCCATCTGTCACACAAAACATGTAAAAAGAAGCCTGTTACTTTTGTTCAAGATTCATTTTTCTTGAGGTTCTTCTGTCAGTAATGGATAAATGCAGAGTGGAGATTCATTAGCCCGGTTTAACACTTCCCCATATTTCAAAAATGTAAGAAAATTATGAATCATCAGGTGATTTATCTATTTATTGCAAGATGATCTAAACATTTCTAAAAATATCTTAATCAGCAAAAGGGACAAAATGTTGAAGGCTTCAGGTCTCTGAAAACGGGAAAAAGGAAAGGTTAACAGCATTTTGCACATCCACTTGTCTCCCTGGCATGGCTGATGATGTTATACTAAAGAGGACAGCAGGCCTGGAAGCTATGGGAAAGGCCTGAGAACTGGCATTATCTACACACTGTTTCTACATGACTTCTGGACAGCTTAACTTTTACATTTCCAACAACAAAATCTCTAAACACTGTCATTATCACCAATATGTGGTCATCTAAATTCCGTATGTCATTGGTACATTGGTTAGCACCATTAAGTGATAGGAATTAAAAATACCTTAAAAAGGTGAATCAACATGATAATCATCTTTCAGGAACTGAAGACGTTAAGGTAAACAGGAATTAAATCTTTTCCTAGAATCACATAGAAAGCAAGTGGCAGAACACGAAACAGACCGAGGAGCTTAGGACTTTGAGAGCTCTACACCATTGCTAACCAGATCCACACTTGGAAGGCTGTTGTGAGCAAATTATTACCGTTCTACCAGTGCCAGACATGAGAGGTTCACAATTCAACTAATCACACTTGGTTGTGCTTAAGTAGCATGCGCACATAAAGATACTCTACACAAAGAAAAATGACCTAAAAATGACTGTGCTGTGTTCTTCGCACCAATTTCCCATTCAAGAGCTCAGAACGAGAAACGCACCCAGGTTAGGTGGGGATAAGAAACAGATGAAGTGGCTGCACAACCTGGCCACCTCCTGCTACAGGACACAACCAGGTACAAACCCCTCTCCCCAGCCACCGCAGTGCCACCACGCTTCCTAGAGCAACCAGCCAGATCCTGGCCACCTCTCCTTTCCCACACCCACCACAGTCGCAAGAGCTCTCTCAATACGTTTCCTTTCACTAACAGCAGCTAAAGCTGTATCAAACATTCCTTACAAAAGAAAGCTAAAAGCCTCACAAAAATTGTAAGTACTGACTTGCTACAAATGCTAGTAACAGAAAAATCCACCTAATTTATACATCGTTAAAGTACATGGCTAACAGGCTGGTGTTTATTACATAATGCATTCTTGGCAACAAGAAATTCATTTAATAGTGCACTATGCATAGAGCTCGAACATCACACCCTCTCAAATCTGGCTGTGCAGTACAAAAGCCTCTGTGCTGTCAAACCTTTTAGCAACTCTTACTGTCAGAGCTTAAACTGATGCAGTCACGCACCTACCAACCAACACACCCTCCTGAACACCACAGACCTGCCATTGTTCCTCCTCCATTTTATGGCAATGCTGACTTCATGAACATCATAAATTAGTGCTAATAACTGCCTTAAATAAAGTGACTTAAGTAAAATATACACACAGGCAAGCATGACGCAATCTTGTAGGCAGAATGCCTGACTTCCACATACTCTCTTTAGGCCAGCTACAACTGCAATTCTTGGACCTTCTGGGGCGTCTTGGGCCTCTATCACACTGCTCCCTGCCTGTGAGAGCTCCTAATGTTCAACCTGTTTGGCTGGATAAACTATTGTCAAGTAATGTCCTAGATTAAGAAAAAGACAAAGACCCAGCTTGTACAGAACAAGGTAAGTCATCACAGAGATTTCCAACCCACATAAATACAAACAGATTATTTCAGAAAGTCTGTTTTACACTCAAAACGGTAGTAATACCCTGTAACTGCACCAGTTTTGTCACTAGGAAAGCTTCTGTACCATCAGCTCTTTCAAAGTATTTTATTTCTTTTATTACTTTTTCCACAAATAAGAGTTGTGGGTCTGTCTAAACAAGAGCCACAGAAAAAAATTATTTTCTACCACACATCCATGGAGCAGCAACAGACAGACTACCTCAGTTTCAGCGTTAGTACATGAAAGATTTTCCACTGCTATTTATCTTCACCTAAATGAGGAGAAGCATCTTTCAAGAGAGTATAGCTGTGATTGCTCAGCTTACTCCTACCACTGAAAAATTCCCCTACTACCAAGTCCTTGAGTAATATTCGTTATCCACTTGTAATCATTGCTCACCCACTCACACTGTGAGAGCTGATTACCTGCCAACCCAACAGCAGGATTTATTTCCCCCCAGTCTCTCCTTGGGTGATTAATTTACTTACTGTTGATTAGTAAACTGTTTTCTTTCCTTTGCAACAGAGCTTAGGGGAGATATATGTAAGAATTGGAAAAGATAAATACACGCTGATTAAAGAAAGTAATACATTAATTTTGTCATCTGGAATAGTCATTTATAAACACCCAGAAGGAAAACTGAAATGCTTAATTTAAAAATTTCAGTGTTTATCACTAGCTGAAGTAACTTCATTATGAAGGAAGTTTGACAACTGCTTGATGATTCTTCTCTCAAAAACTAAGTTACTAAAAAAACCAGAACACTTCAGGCAAGAGTATAATGAAACAGTCTTATTTAACATCAGTACAGAAAGAAGAGCTTAAGGATCAGAAAGGATGTGGTAAAATACACTCTTCAAATCAGTATTCATGAAATTGTTAAGACCCACAGCAATAAGCAAGGATTAAAGAACATGGCACGAGGTTATCCCAGGCCATCTTATCCTGTCTGCCGGATGACACTTTTCTGACACTGTTCCTGAAGATAAAAACGTGAAGACGAAGTCTTAACTCTGCTGATAAAAGTGGGAGGAAGACTCCTGCTTTTTCCCCACTCTCACTGACCAACCTGCAACACTAGCTAGAAACATCTGTTAAGCTTAACCCTCAGAAGGAATGTGAATGACAGCAAGGAGGAGCCAGTGGCCTTTAATGATTAACTTCTGTAGTTAAGACAAATAAGAAAGACTGCAAATTTGGAAGCCAATAAGCACCCCTTTTTTGTAACAGGCTGAAATAGAAGCCTCTGATGGCAAGAGTTGACCTTTCATGTTTTCCATAGGAGTTCAGAACAATAGTTTCTTAGCGCACTCAGATAAGATTATGTTCTTTTAAAATACCAGGAAATAACAGTATCGCAGAATGGTTGAGGTTGGATGGGACGTCCTGAGATCATCCAGTCTAACCCCTGCGCAAGCAGAGTCAAGCTAGAGCAGGCTGCCCAGCACAGAGTCCAATCAGGTGCTGAATATCCCCACAGATGGAGACTCTACAAGCAATCTGCTCCAGTATTTGACCACCCTCACAGTAAATTCCAAGTAAGATACATTTCTTTTCGCAAGTCTCTTTACAGAAAAATAACCCCCCCAAAATCTAAATCCCCAAATGGTGACTGACAAACAGTTCAGTCAGAGTCAACTGAAGACTTTACTGATCCAAAACAAGAAGCTGCACTGAGATGCCAAATCCAATAAGCAAGGTTGCATGTCCTGATTATTACTGAAACTCTACATAATTTATAAACTTTGCTTCCCATGTGATCCCTGCATGCAAACTTCCACACACATAAATGCTCAAGTCCAGAAAAAGATGCTTAATTACTGTTCAAGAGAGAAGTCTTTTCATAACAACTAAACATGATAAAGGAACCACGCAAGACGCTCTACTAAAAATCCACAGTAGTGTCAACCTCCATACAGAAAATAAGCTACTGCTTCTCCTATATAAGTAGCATCAAGGATGACTAATTATTTCTAGCCACAGTCTGAAGTGTTTCATTTCCTGTGATTTGAGATCTTTCCCCACAGGGTGTTTGTACCCAGCAATGTCTGAAGGGATGCATCATTTAAAACAAAGTTATACCCAAAGATAACCAAGTTGAGCACTGAACTCATTTTTCTTGACAAAACTGTAGCAGTCAACTCTTACCTGGGTCTAAACATGTAAATTTGCAGCACTCCTTAGGGTCTTTGCGATACTGCTGACACCCCTGGGGCCGTTCACACAAAGCAGCCACGCACATTTCAGGTTCACCGTTGTGACATGTGCAGCTCAAACAGGGATCATTCCCTTTTGGAGTGAAATAGTAGCCTTCATCAACAATGTTGTCTTTGATATCAACGCAAGTCTGGCCTAGAACAGAAACACACATCAATATCCAAGTGTCTGTGAGCCTGCCAGACAGGAGTCCAGTTTATTCTGTTACATTAAGTGATTTTTAAACATAAGCATAACACCAGTTAAAAGTCATGCCTTCACATTAAAGCAACTTTGAAAAGGGATCTCCAAGGAGTGGGGAAGATAATGGATAGTCTAGAGGCATGCAGGGATGATTTACTGCTCAAAATTGATAAAAGTGAGTTTTAAGTATTTAATGGAATTGACACGCTTTCAGGCATCCTCTCCAAGACACAGGAAAGCAAGTGGTCTGAGAAGTTTAAGCTTCACTGTCAATGCCTGCTGCAGCTCCCTCCCTCTCTCCTGGTACTTAGGAAAAGCTGGATCTTCCCTGGACCAAACCTGAAGGACACTCTTACAGGCCAGGCCTAAAAAAGGAAGCCAGGCAATAGTACTTCTAATGCCCTAGCTGCATCTTGACCCCTGCCCAGTGGAGGAAGTTTAGGTGTCTTCTGTCCACTGTCCTTTCCTCCCACTGACCTAAAGGCAGGTACCAAAACCAGAAAGAGGAAACACAGACAGCGCTGGGAGCTGCCAGCTGAAGCAGCTGCTCAAGGGAGAGTGGCCTGCCCCCTCCACCTACGCACAGGTCAGCTGGGAAGGTCCACAGGAAAGTTCAGACTCAAAGAGACCCGAGGAGGTCTCCAGCTCAATCTCCTGTTCAAAGCAGGGTCAGCTATGACGTCCCAACAGGTTGCTCGGGGTTTTATCTAACCTGGTCATAAAAACCTCCGAGGATAGAGGCTGCACAACCTCCCTGGGAGTCTGTTCCACTCTTGACTACCCTCACGATTAAACAGTTTTCCCTGGCATCAGTTCAAATCTCTTGTTTCAACTTAAAGTCCCTTGACTCCTGCCACGCACCACTGTAAACAGCCTGGCTCCATCACCTTGATAACCTCCTTGTAACTACTGGCAGGCTGCTATCAGGTCCCCTGGAAGCCTTCCTTTCTCCAGGCTGAAGGAGCCCCATTCCCACTGCCTCACCTCAAACAGGTGCTTCGGCCCACATCACCATCTTGCTGGCCCCCACTGAACTCGCCTCAATTTGTCAAGGTCTTGTCAACATTTTTCTTGCACTGCGAGGCCCGAAATTGGACACAGCATTCTTCTGCTTAAGTTATACATCTGATAGCCTCACCCTCTGGTTAACGTTTTGGCAGAGCTATCGCCTTCCTTAGAACATCATCCCAAAAAGATGACAAAAAGGTCATCTTTTGATCATCATTTTGACTAAACACATGCCCTTCAATATCAGATTCCAAGATTTTATTATATCTCAAGGTAGACAAGGCAATATCCTGTCTTCCTAATTTTCAATATTTCAGGTGCAAAAGCTGGCAAAGAAGGGCTGAATTTTCCTCCCTTGCCATTCTGTAAGTCTTTTTCCTGCTTTAAAGAAAAAAAAAACCTAGAGAAACTTCAAGAACTGCAGTAAAAGTTCAACAACTTTTCTCCTTCTTGCAAAGGAGCACCATCCATATCAGGTATCTTAAATATTACCTGAAAATACTGCCAATACCTCTGTTGGTATAAAGCCTTTTGGAGTAAAGAAATGCAAGATACAGAATGAAAGCCATTTTTTTCCACATTAAGTCAGTAGCTCCACTTGCCTTTTTTTTCCCCCCTAGTTCTAATAATTGGCTGGAAAGAATTTAATAGAATTTGCTATATTCAAAATAAACCAGAAATAAGTATTTCCTCATTTTCATGTGAAGTTAATAATTTAAGAGTGATATTTACTAATAAGGCGCGGGGGTTTTTTTTAGATTTTTTTTTTTCCAAGTATACTTTATTTTGGGGCTGATATAGCTGTTTAACAATCATTTTTTTAGTTAAAATCTGTACTGTGGCTGACAACCACACATTAGGATGCTCTTATTTATTTAAACCAAGCAGAAATTTAAAAATTAAACCCCCCCCCCCCCTTTTTTTTTTTAATTCACTGGGCAAAAGGTAGAAAGGATAACTAACCAATTTCCCCATATTTGTTATACGCATATTTAAACACACAACACAGTTAACACTGCACTAAAACCAACTTACTCCTTTTGCAGAGGAATGAAGATTTCTCATAGCAGTTTTCAGCATACCAGCTGTGTAAACCATGGTGCCGAAGGGTAGGAAAATGGAAACACTGAAGCTGGGCACAAAGAACGTTTTCATTTTCAGACATAGCCGTACCGAAGATAGGGTCAGGGGGTAAAAATACTTCTGAAGAGCCTAGAACAAGATGCATTGGTATAAGCAGCCTGCGGGTATGCAAAGCTTTAGAAAGGGTCTGTAATGTCACTCATTTCATGCACAGCGACCCTGCTACAAGGCTACTGTCCTCTAGCTTTAGCTTCCATTAGCAACATGCCTCCGGGGGAAGGCAGACAGCAGGGAGGGAAGGGGTGACTCACAGAGAGAAGAGGCTGCTGTTTTCAAAGTACTGGGTAATTTTGTCATTCTGCACCAGTAGGAGTGATGTTCTGATATCTCTACAAGTGCTGCTTTCCAGAGTCCCATGGTGTTTGCCTGCCAATAATTATGCACCCCTTCAAACAACGCTGAGTTTGGCCATGCTTGCTACTGGTGGAGCAAGAACCCATACCAATCTTGTACCTGGCACTCCAAGCATCTACTAGTGTTTCCAAAGATGTGTGTACGTCTATCTCGTGCAGCGCACTGCAGAGCTGCTCCCCCATATCTCACGCTGCTCATTCAGAGTGCAGAGTAGTGCTATGCAGAGAACAAGGCTGCAACGCCGCTTCTGCTGCTGCCGTGGTGGTATGGACTATTTGGTCCTTCCAACTCACGTAATTGTTAAGACACTGTATTGTGACGGGTTCCAAACAGTGCAAGAGGTGTTGAGGGCATTTTATAACTTTTAAAATGTTGTTTCTGACCAGTGTCTCGCTTCACCATTAAATCTGCTGGTATGCAAAGTTGCAGAGATTAATGGGAGACCAAGACACAGCAATTGTGAAAATCAGCTTATTTTATATGTTTTCAGAAGCCTACTTTCCAAATCTGTGTGCTTAAACATTGATTTTAACAGCTCTTGCAGTAAGCATATTATGCAGTTTTCTCACATGATGGTCCTTTCAAACACTGTTAGGCATGATGTTTTCTTGTTTATTTTTTTAAATGCAACTAGGTTCTGCTATCATTTTTTTGAGGGCTTATCTTCCACATCTCCCAATAATAGATTAACATTTCCAAGCTATACGACTCCAAATCACTTTTCAAACCAATACTAGGAATTCAGAGTCTGCCTCACTACAAGTCAGTGAAGCTTAAGCAAAGTTTTTCAGAAGCTACTGAATGCTACTATGTACTACTATGTATTTTATTTCATATAGGTATCTCTTTATTAAATAGAAAGCTTGCAAAAAAAAGAATATATGGTATTGAGAAGGCTTAAATTTATATAATGCATCAAATCAAATAAAACTTACGATAAAAACAGGTACCGTGATTTTTCTATAATTTATGCCTCCCTGGTTGTAAACGTTTTGTCAGCAGATGGCAGTGCAGTCAACTTTCCAAAGGGCAAAGAAAGGTTCTTTTAAGGAGAATGTTTTTTTTTCTTCCTTAGGCTTCACAAGAGAAACCCACCTATATAAACAGTTTTGTCCAGACCAGAAATCCCTATTATGAGAAAAAGTTGGACTTTCCTCCCGCCCTTTCCCCTGTTGTGCAAATACATCTTTAGGTGCTTTACTTTAAGGAACTAATGAAAATGTTCCTGCCTCCAGAAGAAGGAGCAGTTTCCTCTGAATATTCAGTCAACTCTGTTAACTTAAATGACAAAAGAAATCAGTATTTTTGTGCATGGCAGCACAGTAAACAAGTACTGTCATTAGAAAGCTACGCAGGGTTCTACTACTTCTCATGTGTCAAAGGAAGTATTTTTCAAGAACCTACTGTAGTAAAATTCTGTTCACAATTACGTATCTGTACCTAACGGACAGTTTTCCTTCCAGATTTTCCATTACTGAAAATTGTATATGAGCAAACTATTCAGATTAGTTTTCAAATGCTACACTGGAATTCACAGTGCTGATGCTTAAAAAAAAAAACCCCTTTGTTTTAAATTTTCCATTACCTAAACCAGTACAGCATTTAGACATTCAATTCTACACGTAAGAGTTCATATAATGGCTTTAAGATTAACTAATCCCTCAACTGAATTAGTTAAAAATAAAAGGTGTAGAAACATAACTTTGCATTTTCAGTAGAGGGAGCTTCTTGTTCTGCAATTGAAAAGTTCAGCCTGTGATGCCTATCAGATTAATGTTCAGTTTTTCATATAAACTGGGATTTATTTCTGGGATTAGGCAAATTTTGTCTTGGTCTAAGTAAACTATCTGAAGTACTTTAAAATGAAAAAAACCTGGATAATTTTACAAAATTCAAGATTATTTTTTTAAGTATATAAAAATCTACCCATTTTTAAAAAGCTAAAACCCCCCAATATCCTACACTAGTCTATGCAAATACAGTTCAGCTAGACGTTCACTGCAAAGAATGAGAAACTACAGAGTAGTTTCCTTTTTCTCAGTTTAATCAAGGGGAAAGCCCAAATAAACTGAAAAACACGTTCTTTCCACAAGACGTCAATGTGAAAAACTATGAAACTTCTTACACTTGAAAATAAGACATGTGTATCGAGTATTAGACTCTTCTGTTCTGATACTGTAAAACAAAGCAGTTCCCCTACACTATTTCAACATTGTCACTGAAAGAAGTTATGTTGTTCTTGCAAATAATATTCATACTGTAAGACAGTTTCCACGGGCCATTTAACTAAGTAATAATTTGAGAGGCCTACCTTTATAAGCTACTTCCCAGTGACCTTCTAGAGAGTGATTTCGATTGGTGATCACATACTGATATCCAACCCAGAACCTACAAAGAAATCAAGTTAGATTCTAAAGATACAAGCCAAAAATGTGCAAAGAAAATAAAATAAATTACACAGAACCTTCCAATGTTTTTATACTTAAAAGCTAACTTTCAAAACATTCTGATGACTTTTTCCTTAACATTTCAGCCCATACGCTGGCAATGTGGAGAGACTACAGTTGAGGAATAGAGGAAAATACTTGATAGTTTTCTATGTTTACAAACAATAACTCACCATGTCTTTTATTTATACTCATAATAAGCACCTTATTCTGTTGTTATGGCAGCACTTCAGTATCTGGAACCCAAAAACCACACAAAAGCATCCAGAAGTCAAATATTTTATAAACATATGCAACTTATGTCAGACTGTTCCAGGTCAAACCATCTAACTCTCCAGAGACAGAAATACACCATTAATGAACCACTCCTGGTGATCTGTCATGGCAGCCCATAAGACTGACAAAAAAAAAAAACCACCGGCAAAAAAAAGGAATTATGTTTGTTATGAACCAACAGAATGAAATATCTAAAGCCACCAGAACATAGTTCTTGCAATTCAAAATGGCTTTTTATTTCATTCTTATCTCAAACTTGCAGTCTTTGTTAGAGCTACTGGTACTTAATGGAAACAAAAATTCTGTTGAAAAATTTAAAGAATTATTTCTATACAGGGTAGTGCAGCAGTAAGTCATTGTAAACTTCATCTTCCCTGTTGCAGTTCAAGAATACTAGTACGTTGCTGAGACAGCCTGAAGATAAAAAAGATTCTGTCGAATTGTAGCCTATCTGTTAATGTTAATTAAAATATAAAATACAGATGGCCACTGCCAAACAGTCACCCAGTATGACCATACTGGGTTATCAACCTGAAGTCAATTTTACCATTAGATTTTCTAAGCAAACTGGACTACCAGCATTTGTATCACACACAAACCATTCTCATGCAATATAAGATCTTTGTCCTTTCCTTCCTACTCACCTACGCTGGTCCTTCCTTACAAATGTTTTTTCTTCCAAGTCCCACTCCTGTGCCAGGATGAACCTTAGCTCCTGGTCTGCAGTGAAGGTGGCGAGGGATCCATTCACCCGCTGACATGTCTGCACGGCGTCCCAGTAGTTCTCCCCATTTAAATACACTTTATAACAGCTGGCTGTGCCCTCATAGTGGTGCCATCCTGTTGGGCACTTTCCTAGGAAACATGAAGAATAGAAGGGAAACCATTCCCCCCAAATTAGGATCTTCAGGATAATGCATCCTAATCAGTTTATGACAATGCAATGCATAATCACTTGGATGTGTACACACAACATACTGTGTATACTTCACCTCACCAGGAGGAGATGCATGCATTACTGATCACAGATGACTTACTTTACTAGAGCTTTTGATAAAGGAAAATTTAAAAAAAATGTATTTAAAAAGATGCAACTCCTAGTAATGTTCCATTGCACTGTGACAGCCTTTAAAGTCTTTAATTAAGACTGATGATCTACTGTGGAAGATATTTCCCTGCACATCTTTATAAATCCAATCAGTTCTATCAATCCAAGTCAAAACAAGCAGCAAGAGCAGGAAGAAAAAAAACCAGAGGTGGCCAATTTAATGATTCTGTCTTTCTATTAGGTGGTTAGCAATACACCCAACTTGCTGTGAAGTTTTCAACCTACTTTTACAAACAGTCTCAGTAGTATTCACGTACTCCTGCTCCCATAGTCAATCACTAAAGACAATGGGGGTTCTGGGGCAAATGTTGTTTGCTTTGGAAAAACATCACTGCAAAGTGGATATTCAAGAAGCAAGAAGGTGATGGTGTGAACTGCTTTCTCTGCTTTCTCTCAGTTAACTCAATGGAGGGAATATGCAACAAAAGCCTTGAGGCATTTCTGGATGAAACAGGCCCATGGGCTTTTGACTGGCATTCTTAGGGGTGATGGGTAGCTAATAGAATCACAGAGACAGGCGGATGAAATTTAAAACAGACAGGAAATATGATTTTAGCACCTGCATTTGCAGTATTAATTTTGCACAACACGTAAGCAAGCAACTTTAAATTCACAAACTGTTTTATGTTCGTTGCATGCATTCACAGAGTTCCTGTTCTCAAGCCTCTTTATTCCCTTCAGAAACAGTTATCTTTATCATCAAATAATGATATACAAACTTAGATTTGAAGCCCTTTAATTAAACATCTTTCCTTATTCTCCATTTATATAGGATCTTTTCAGATCTACTGTTCACATCACTAAGATGGGACAGAATACAGTATCAATCAGACTGCAGAGCATTAGATATTGCTGTATCAATTTCTAAATTGCTTTATTGTCCTCTATAAATTTTATTAACATAATTTAGCTACTGGAATCCGTGACAAATGAAAATACCTATTTTAATAAGCATTTTTGTCCTCAAGCCGGGGGGGGGGACACGACCAGGGAAATCAACGAAGAGGTGAATTTTTACTTTTGCTAATCACTTGTCTTTTTCAGAAGATCACCATAGTCCAAAGCAATTGTTCCCAATTACTGCTATACTGTCTTCCCCCCATGTCATCTTCTTAACCTGTCCCATCCCTCTCTCCAAGGCTAATCAGTGCTGTCTCCCATTCCCAAATCACTGGATGATCCCTGGAGCAAAGAGGGAACCAAGATAAGAGGGAGAAGGCAGGGGAGACTTAGATGTTTTGGGCCTGGAGAGATTCAGAGGCAGCAGTCACTACGAGCTATGATCAGTGGGAAGGACACTTGCAGGACATTTACAACGCTTTCGATAAGGCAGGGACTAGGATGCTGACAGTGGCACTAGCAGTGCTGCAGGTGAGATGGCAGGATGCCACTGAAGTGATATTTTTGAAGATTCCCGATTGATTGGTGGGCGTAACATGGCGAAACCCATTCAAGCGCTACATACTTCCTTGACAGTCTTCAGAGAAGCAAGTGAAGAATTTCCTTAAGTTCCCCACTCCCTAAAGAATATTTTTATTCCTAAAGAATATTTTTCCTATTAAAAAGGATACAAAACTCACAACATCAGAGATGCACTTAATTAACTAATAATAGTGCAACGTCTTTAAGATCATCTTCCAAATTACTTCAATCAAGAGCAATCAATTTTGGTCCGCCCCCCGTCCCCCCCACTTTCCAGGGGAACAATCCTACATGCAAGCTCACATCAAGAGACAAGGGCTAGACTATCACCCCTGCTGCAGGATGAAACCATCACTTAAACCATGGGCTTAGTTTTCTGTAATTGCAATGAGTTATAACAGGAAATTGCACCTCTGGTTTCACAAAAACAGGATTACTAGGGAAGTAGAATTCTTTGCATGTATTGGCCTGCTATATAAACTATGCAATATAACAGGACGCATATAAAAGGAATGTACAAAAACCTTAAAAAGCACTGCACATGAATAAAATCTGGTCAAAAAAGCTATGCAAGAGAAAAATCTATTAATTTCTCCTTAAAAAAAATAGCCTAAATTGCTAAATTAATTAGCAGAAAGATGGCCCAGATTTCCCAGTCTGCAACTTACTGCTAAATCGGACAGGCTGTGCCACATTGACGGTGTGAAAGCGGGTTGCCTCTCCTCCTCTCCCTCGATTGTGCCTGGAGTCCACATTCTCCTTCCCATGGTAAGTTCGCTGGTCCCCTGTCAAGCCTGGGGACAAGAAGAAATAGTCAGTACCAGTGAAAGATGCAAGCAAAGGCAGATTTCATTTTATTAAACTTTCTCTGGGTTTTAATTCAAGACGTATATGATAAATAACATAGGTAAACAAAGATGGTAGATCCCTGCAACAACACCTTGGCCATTTTACATGGTACATAACTGAAATACCTACAATTGAAAAGAACCAACAAGCCATTACATGAGTCTTGCAGAGTAAGCTAAATATTTTGGCAGATTCTCAACAGCCTGCAGTTGTACACAGGACTTGACGCTCATCATTTCAATCGCTGCAGCAAATGCATCATCCCCAGTGCGTTTTATCTGTTCCTGTTTACAGAACTACCCACTCTCCAGCTGCTTTGTTTCTCAGTTGTATGTTCAAGGGTATAAGACAACTTCTCCAATACGTTTTCCAACACATTCTCTGAGATCTAGGACAAAATTAAAACCAGGAAAGGAAACCTATCTTCAGCCAGAAAAACAAGGTTTTTCATTCACTCTCAAGCTTCTAAAGGAAATGTTAGTTCATTATTTCTGAAACAAAAAACATACACACCCTCATCTCAGTGTCAGGGCTTCTAATGGGCATACCTCACAACTGGATTCAATAACTTAGGAAGAACACAGTGCAAGACGTTATTCCAGAAAAGGGGCTGGGAGGCTCCACATGCCTACCAGGAGTAAATAAGGAGCGCACAGTTCAGGTGGAGACGCTACAGGATGGGGAGAAACCTTTGAGAAAGACAGAGATGAGCACCGAGAAAGATTAATCTGGAAACAAGGGATTAACCTTAAAAAGAGAAAAATTAGGAACCCAAGAATGTAAGCATTAGAAATATCTACTAGTATGTTATTTAACACTACTAGATGTTATTAAAGGTAATAGAGTTTAACCAGCACGAAGAGCTATGCAGACATTCATTTCTTTATAAAAAATCAGCTTATTTTCCTTTAAAGCTGATTAGCTCTATTGAGCCTAGCTAAACCAAATAAACCAGTCATGGTCCCAAATAAAGAGGAGCTACGTAGTCTTCTTCAACAGGTTTAACTACATCTTTTGAAAAAACATTCAAAACTACATCATTAAAACTTTCTCTTTCAGACTATCTTTAAAAAGCAAGAGGTTCACAGCAATTTCATGGTAATTTAAACCCAGAGTTGGGGACTGTTCGCTGTATTACCTGGGGGGAAAGACCTCCAGAAGACCCACCATCAAACAATGCACTCCTTGGAACAAATGTTAGCACCAATGAGCAAAAAAATCACTAGCTGGAGCCCAGGAACAGCAGAGTAGCTTTGCATTCATCTGGTTCTAGCATACTGAGTTTGCCCTGGGTTAATGGGATAAGCAAGGGATATTTAATTATCACATTATCCTAGGAATTACATGTCTATAGAGATCACCCATTAAGAAATGGCTGTGCATAATACACTCACGTGGCCTTACAGGAATAAAGTAGTAATCCTACTGTTCAATATTAGAATAAGCTATTTATCACAGGCAAGAAGTTAGTGCCAAGAAATTCAGTCAGTGTACGTTTCAAAGGACACTAAATGGTAAAATAATTTGACAGTGAAGATCACCGATTATTTTTCATTACTTTAAAGGCCAACCTATTTTTAGTTTTAGAATTTGACTATTCTTAATCCTAACGGTTCAGTAGCAGTATTTACACTATGATTTTCAGAGCAATACTGAGACACTAAAAAAGCAAATCTTTAATGATAGTAAGACTTTAAAAATAACGCTAACTAATGTAGAATGCTTTATCAAAGATGAACTGAGCCCAGCATGGGAAGCTCTATTTTCCCATGGCATTAAATGGTAACAACGAAACCCAAAGAACCAGTAAGAACCAAACGCACGAAAAATTCGTTCCCTTTCAGAAGTGAGAGCAGATGCAACACCATATGGCTGACCCTCGATGGCTAAACAGAACGCCCACAAGGACTTAACAATTTCCCTCCCCCAGGAATAAAACAGAAGTTCACAGGTTTTAACATGCGAGGTTAAGAAAGGGTTACTTGGGCTAACATCTTAAATTGACAGAATTTCTGCCAGTTGCTTTGAAAAATAGCTACACAGATCCCACAAAAAGTGAGTTCAATCAGTCCTCACCCAGGAAGCAGGACACTCAATTCCTTCCTCAGCATCTGCCTGTGTCAGCAGACTCCCTGCTGAAACCAGGCAGGACTGAAGAGGCAGAAAGCAGCCACCACAAGTTACTTCTCCTTTAAGCCCAACACTGACAGCTGCTTAATAAACTGGTGCTCTTCAAGTATTAAATTGCTTCTATTTGACTTGAATTTTTGGTCTCTGAGAAAAGCAACGATGACAAGTTTTTCCAGGGCAATAAAGAAAGGGATGCTAACAAGCCTCTAAGTCACTTGACTGCCATGAAAAGCCATTGCAGATTCTGGTGGCAAAGGTGTAATTGGACTGGGTTTCTATTGTACTTTTTCAATACTCTGCAGAAGAATTTTCTATGTATTTTGCTGTTCCTGCTTCCTTTATAAAAATATTTTTATCTTTAAAAATAAATTAATAGTACCATGGACTAAGCTTTAAGATAACAACCTAAGCCAGAAGATCACAACCTAACCATGTTTGAGTGTTTCAGAAAGGAAAAGCTATCATTTTTATTGCTTATGTGTATACTTAATATTCTGAAAGCCATAAAATTTTGGAAGATCAGCTATTTTCCAAAACCTTTATTCTTCTAGATATTACAACCACAAGCAATAACAGCAACAGTAGTATTTTTACGGGCCAAGACAGATAGTTCTGTTTTCTTTGACTTTGTACAATTATACGAGAAACGTAATTTGTTTGTTAGTTGATGGGGAAAAGGGAAAAATTAGTTCAAGGAAAAAATTCATGGGGTGCAATGTTTTTTCTCCCCTCAAATTCTATAGAATGGTGGACACGAGCATCCTCCAATCTGTTTCCAAATGGATCAAGTCATGATTAGTATTCACCCAGCTCCTTCCAATTTACAGTTGCTATCTAATTCACTCTAGCACAATCACAGTCTAAGTATAGTGCTATACATCAAGAAAGTTGCCCGACGCTGCTGATTCCATAACTATTTTCAGTTGTTTAAAACTTCAAGCTACCAATTCAGAATGGAAGTTTGCCATACTGGATGGCTCCTACTACATTTTATATTGGTAAACTTTTGCAGATCTGAATCAAAACAGTTCAACAATTGTTCAGAACAAAAATTAAGAGATTGGAAGGGGAAGAAATTTTGCTTACATTTCTAACTACGTTTTAGTTGAACAAGCACTGTCACTGCAGCCTGCATAACACAGCCCTGCTAACTCACAGAAAAAGCTTTGTGCCATGAGTACAAGTTTCGCTGTTCCTGTTGGGCACACAGAAAAAACGGAGGGGACAAACGCAGTCAAGTTTAAGTCTGAAAGAAATATGAGCTTGCCCATTATTCACAGAGGCTGGAAGGAATTCAGTTACGTTGTCCATACTCTCCTGTGTACATCCATGGAGATTACTCTGCAGCATTTATCCACAGGATCTAAGCAATGCTTTCTTTGCACGTGGTGTCTCACTAGGGGAAGCCAAGCACACAAGCAGAGCAGAAAGCTCCTTTTTTGTCCCACTCAGTGCATCCATCATTTGGACCAAGTAAAAGGAAGCAAAAAGCCAAGTAGTGCAAATGGAACGTAAGCCGAGGAGCTGAGACCGCACAAAAGTGAGAGCTGGCACCAGCTGAGACAGGAACAGGCTAGAACATACACGTGCCGAGCAGCACTGCATGGGGGAACAAACATGATGCCAAATGGAAAACTGTGTACCGAGGAGCTAGAAGAGAAACTGCAATCTTCCACACACGCCAAGGTCTGCTTTGCACCAAAAAAAGGCCAGGCAGACAGAAGACACTGACTGTAATATAGAGAGGTCCTTGTAGGGTCAGGACTCAAAGGGGTGAATATTGGATTTTGGGGAGCTGAACTAGTTTCCAGAGTTAATGTGTCACAGATGACAAGTCACTCAAGCCAAACCCTTCACAAGGATGAATGTACTATGTCAAATCATGTCAAAATTAAACTGTTTGTGAAGCAACCAGGTCTTGTCATATCTTATTTGTTCCAAGATTTGAGTTGATCCTGTTTAAACACAGAGATTCTCAAAGTTTACATAAAAATCTGCCTTGTCCCCTAAGCTTCAAATTTTCTGTCCAGCATATTACCTACTAAAAGCTTGGAAAGCTTTTAATTCCACCTGGTAATTTGAGAGGTGAGAGAACTTCAGGATTAAATCCAGTTTTGTGCCTAAAGATTTGGAAATACAGTTCAGAAGTCCCCAGAGAAGAGTGATTCTTCTGAGATCAAGCAGCTCCATGCTTTGCGTTATCAACTGTATTATGCTAGGAAATAGATGCCAACCAAGAACAGCATCCTGCTGTGCTGAGCACTATTCAAAGTAATAGACTGACAGTAAAGAGCTTATAATTTAAACAGCACCAAGTAGGTTAAAAAGGATGCATCATATAGGAGTTCAGCAAGGGCTCAGAAAAGGCGTGGAAATGATGGGAGATTTTTATCATTATTACCTAAGTTTAAAAAAGGAGATGTACTAAAAAGTGCACAAATGTCAACAGTCACTTCAACCAAACACAATATCCTTGGCAAAACAAAATACAAAGCTGTTTATGATCACTGCAAAACAGTGTGCTGCAGCTGCTGCTTTATCAGCAACTGGCCATACCTTCAGCTGGCTCCACAAAGGAGACTTTGCAGGCTCAAAGATGATATAGTGTGTATGTGCTGGGGCAAGTGATCTCCAAATCTGCACACTTCTTCCTGATACAGTATCTGGGGAAGTCCTTAAGAACAGCATACAAGATCACATTGCTCAAGATCAGCATTTACAGTTAGCTTCCTAGCAAGATTGTTTCTGTATGAAATTAGGCTCCCAATCTCAACATAAAAACATGTAAAATCATACTGTTTGCCATGGAACTGCAGGGCAGCTCATACTACTGCTAGCCACTGCTTGCAACTGCTGCCCCAGGACCACTACCACCAGGATGGCCAGCTGCCCAGTGCTGATTGTGGCCTCAGGCTTGGGGGCCGGGGAGGCAGGGGAACCCTAAGCATTCACCTCGCTGAAACTTTCCAGTGTTCTTGTTTCTGAACAAGCAGGTCTAGAAAACAGTACTGAGATATACCTTATAAAGGAAGAATGTGGCATTAGGCAAGGGTGTGCGCACCCTTGCGCACAAGGTGAGCTGAAGGTTTTCAAATTCAGATGCTAGGATAAGCCCAAGAACAGCTGACGGCACAATCTGATCACTTATTCCTGGGAAGAATTCCATTTTTTCAAAAAATAAATAAATTAATGAAGGAAACAGAATGATCACCAATATAATTGCAAGCTGAAAAACTGGTATGGATAGGATTTATGAAAGGCACTGGAATTTAAGACATCCGTTCTCTGTTCATACGTAACAGAAACAAACATCAAGCCTGTAGCATAAGGAAAAAACCACATGTAAACAGCCAGCGCTATACTAAACCCTGCTCCACTCGTACTGCTGAAAATGAGTTTTGACCAGAAGGCCTGCAAAGAATGTAGCATATTTGGAGAAGCTGATCTGATATTCTGGTAGAAGCAAAGCTGGAAATCCAATGAGCAGTAAAAGGCAAACTGCAGAGCCCTTCCTTCTTAGGGGTTTAAATACAAACCTTTTATAAAGGTGGAAAAGTTATGTTACTACTTTGACTCCTCGTATAGAAACGTAAGAGGAAGTGAGTAGAAATAATAAATTCCCATTTATAAAAGTCCCTATTTAATGTATTAATGCCCGTTTCTACCATTCCACAGAATACACCACGTTGTGATAAACTATTTTTAGGATCAATTACTGTTGATACGGAACAGTACACAAATTTCATGAGTCTTCACTGCTTAAGTAGAAGAGAGTTGCAGGCATATGCTACATAAACCCTCCCAGTAATTTTTAGTACGCTCACAAGAGCAAGCAGCCATTGGTTTTAGTCTACCAGAGAGATGAGTTGAGGGTAATCACTGCTGCAAGTTCCACTAACATTTGCGTGCCTAGTGGGAAGGGCAGGGGGAAGAGCACTTTACACATCACAAGTTTGGGACTGAAAGGAATTCCATGTTTTAAAGGAAAATGGTCATTCTGAAAAGAAACAGTAAGAATAAAAACAGCTATGATGACTATCTTCAGAGAAATACATGGTCTAGCAAAAATAAACATTTCATACACTTATTCAGATTGTCAATGAATTAATGTCTTACCTAATTGTGTTCTGAAAAAAATGCCTGAAGAAATTATTCTAACAAAAACGTCTTAGGGTTTGGGGTGTTTCTTGTACTTCAGACAACACATGATTACCAAACTAATTTATTAATTAATGATCCTCTTATTTTAATAGGAGCTTTGTTACTAACATGAATGAAATAGGCCTAAAAAAGGTGAACTAAACCAACAGCGCCAAATAACTTACAATGGCTTTGTATTAAACCTTTGAAAATACCAACATGACTAAGTAGTCATTGAAACACACCTTCATCACCACCACAAAACCCTAATTCACTGCCATTGATCTTTTCCAAGTTACTCACGTTGGAGTGTGCCATTAGTAGCTCAAAGGCTGAAAAGTAACAAGCTTCTCAACCAGATTCAGAGCCCTTTCTTGCAAGCTTTCTTTTCATGCTTCAGAGAGATTTCATACCTTTTAATTTAAAGATATTTTAATTCTCCAAGTTTCACAAGTCCAGGTAGCTTCACTAACTAGTTCTTTTAGCGTTCAGTCTGCTTTTATTGAAATTAAGAACCTTAATTAAAAAGTATTTAAATTTAGCTGAATCATCTCATGATTGCTCATCTAAATCCAAAGGTATTTTCTAAGTTTAAAGCTGCATCATTTCTTGTTAATTCAGTGGCCAAAGAATAAAGTTATCACTCCGAAGTACGACTATGTGCTACTATTATTAGTAGCATTAGCTCCCCGGTCAACGTCCCAGGACTTAGTCTCTCCTATGACTGGTCACATATGTATTGCTTTCACCAACATAAGAAAACTGTGCTCTTCCAAACTTATTCTGGCCTATAGATTTACATTCATTCATGCTATTCCTTTTTATACTCCAGCACACCATTCACATGCACTCCAGCACACCAACCTGTCCTTATTCTTGACAGTTCTGAATTACACGTGCCCTTCAACACCCATTTCAGGTCACAACGCTATCCCACCGATTTTTTGTTACAGGTATAATAGAGTTTTTACACCCTACACCAGTACTTCTTGTTCCTCTGGTTCGCTGGCTACACTCCTTGCATTACTGTGCAAATATCTCAGTTCTTTCATAAAGGCCACACCCAGCTTTCTGGCTGTTCTACTGAGCACAGCCTTTTCACCAATTACTTATCCAATTACTCTTCTCATCAAGTGGAATACTTTCCTTCTCTATGCTGTCCATCATTTACCCCTCTAGTATTCTTTATGTATGTTATTCTCCTCTTCCTGCATACAGACATGGCGATGAATCAAGTCTCTCCCACACATCTCCTTTCATTTCTTAACCTAAAGTTGTTCTCATCATGTCAGGCCACACAGTCCAGTGAGACCTACACCCCAAGCACAAAAGCAGAGTCTATCTACTGAGAAATGTTACTTTCATGAAATCCTCTTCCTAGCCATATACCAAATATTCTTTGTAACTCCAGTCCTTGAGTCAACATCATTCTGTTGCATCCTCCATGCAACAACTTAAATTGCCGACTAATATGCCAGGCAACAAGAGAAGATAAAAATACAGTTTTCTACTCATGTGGATGTTCTAATGTGGATGTTCTAATATTCCCACAAGTGAAGCCTTCAGTGCTTTTTAAGTAAATCCAAACATTAAAGTGACTCTGCTTTCCCCTAGTCATTGACTTCCATTAATGTCCAGAATTTTATTAGTTCTCTAGTTTTTCACATTTGGCCAAAGTTAGCTGAAAAAATGGTAACAGCACAACTATAAAAGCATCTTTCTTTAGGACATCCACATCGTAAAGAATATCCTTAGAATATCAATGGCACAGCTTAATTTTCAATGTCAGAAGAAACTACCAACAGTTTTTTCCCCTGTGCTGCAAATACATACACTCACACAGACTAGCCAAAAGCTTTCTAAAAAGAGCAATGAACACATTCTTTTAATTATTTGTGTGTAGCACGCACTGGGGAGATGGCTAACTATAGCACAGTTTCAAAGTTTGAGCGTTAGATTTACTTCTCTAATTCCACTAGAAAATATGAATATTTAGAAGAGCTTGTTGCTGTGAAATACCAATGTTACTATTTTGTAGCACCTTTCTAAAATAGCTCAAAACCCAGAATGATGACAGACTGAATGCTGTGATGACAATGCCGCAAAATTCATGTGATTCTCTCCCAAGCAAATTAAGTAGTTCAGTGGCAAAGAACTTCTTAAAACAGTTTTTGAATGTAATTTATTCACACTGTAGAGATAAGAGTTTTGAATTATGCCACAGTTGAATTCATGCCTTCAAGTTCCTGCTTCATCATCGTAAAGAATATCCTTAGAATATCAATGGCACAGCTTAATTTTCAATGTCAGAAGAAACTACCAACAGTTTTTTCCCCTGTGCTGCAAATACATACACTCACACAGACTAGCCAAAAGCTTTCTAAAAAGAGCAATGAACACATTCTTTTAATTATTTGTGTGTAGCACGCTGGGGAGATGGCTAACTATAGCACAGTTTCAAAGTTTGAGCGTTAGATTTACTTCTAATTCCACACTAGAAAATATGAATATTTAGAAGAGCTTGTTGCTGTGAAATGCCAATGT